CAGGGCATGCTGGGAGTTTTAGTCCTGACCTCCGCAGTGTGCAGCGGCGCGTCCGCGCGCGCGCCCTGATTCGGGTGCACGTGTGTCTTGCGGTGCCGGGGGGTGTATGTGCGCGTGCACCGTGCGCGTTCATGCGAGCAGCTGCGTGTGCGCGCGGTGCTCCCCACTGCGCCTCAACACCGGCCACTTCCAGCAGCCCAAACCCGGGCACTGGCTGCTTGAGTGGGGAGGGAACCCATTCTACCCGTCTCATCCCCCCTTATTCCCCAAACCAGTCCCAGTTTTGGACACCAAAACAACCAGTGACTGCGCTCGGCCCCAAAGACCAAGAAGCTTAAACTGCTTCCCGCCCCCCCCCAAAAAAAAAAGAAAAAAAACCATAAATGCGGAGGGGACGCGGGGATGGGACATTTTGCTGAGCTGTGATTTTACCGCTCACATTCAGAGTTTACAGTCAGTGCGAGGGCTGAAGAGAAACCACTGACGTTATTTCCGCCCTTTCTAGTTCACACTGCGAGAGAGCAGGAAACCGGGCTGGGGCCTCACACGCGGCCCAGCACTTTCTGGGGGGAAAAGCAGTGATTTTGGCTAAACTGCTCCAGCTGGCATGAAAATAACTACTTTTTTTTTTTTTGCATTGCACGGGCCAAGTGTGGAGCCGCTCACTTGGGCTCACAAGGCTGGGGCAGAGGGATGTGACTGCTTGTCAGAGTGGTTAGGAAGGCTTGGGCGGGGCAGGGGGGCAAAATTTGGCTTTTTTTGGCAACATTTTCGGTATTTCCCCCACTTTGCTCCAACCCTCTGCACTTCCCGGCAGCGCCGTGTCCCCAGGCACCGCGTGGGGTAAGGGGGGATTTGCAGTTAGACAGCGAGCAAGAACTAAATAACAATAAATTAAAACATAAAAACAAAAAAGGAGGGGGTAAAAAAAAAGAAAAACAAAAAATAAAACAAAAAAAGCAGCAGAAGAGGAAGAATCAAAGCTTCGAGCGTCACGTCTAGGAATAGCCCGGGAGCGCTGCCAAGCCATTACAGCGGATGAGTAATCCACTTAAGTCATCCCCTACCCCGAGCCCGCTCCGTGTAAGAGAATTAAAATACCGCCTGACATCAGCAAGCGCCTCCCAGGTCCCCCCCGGGGTCCCACTGTGCCCCCTGCCCGGTGCTGGCGCCGCCGCGGGGGCTCCGCAGGGCCCCGTGCCCGGTATGTGCTGGAAAACTGGGGGGATGATGATCGGTGTTGGGGGGGCAGCAAGGGCCACTCGGGACCCCGTCCTATAGCGATGGGGAAGAGCTAAAAAAAGACCCTTTTCCTCCCCTCCGTCCTGCTCTGGGCAGGCGCCCGCCGCTCCTCCCTGCTCCGCACATGCACTGAGTTGCGTCGGGTCTCAGCTCCCCACCGGCGCCGAAGGCAGGAAAGTGTTTGGGGTGGGATTGCGGCCAAGCTGAAACAGTGAAGTCCCCTTACGGAAACCATCCCCGGCGCTATCCCAGAGCTTATCCTGGTCCGGCAGCATCCCGATATCCTCCCCATCTCCTTCCCGGCTCTCCGCATACTCACGGGCATCAGCGGGCGAGCGCTGCTCTCCGCAGGCTCCTCGTAGCGGGGCTGAAGGGCTGGGGGATGAGTCATCCCCCACTCAGGGAAGTGGCGTGTGTGAGTGTGAGTACGAGTGCGGGTGCGGGTGCCCCATTGACTCTTTCGTTACCGGAACGCCTGGGCTTTTTTTGGGGCGGGGGGGCTCTTGGGCTCTGCTTCACTAAATGAGT